ATTTAAGAAGTCTAATCTATTAAAAAATATAGGTAACAAAATAATTATTAAGAAATAATGATGGTTGACGGTATGAGGAGTTATTGTAAGGTTTTCAGTATTTTATTTATTCATAAGTTTTAATTAAAATATGGTTTAGTGACTTAAAATTATATTGTAAATATCATAATAATAATATTGTAAAATTATAATTTAACCTAACACAATATAATTGTAATTCAACATTAAATAATTAAAGTAAAAAAAAGCTTTAACTTAAAAGAGAACTTAGAAATCGTTCACTTTAATTTCTTGTATCCATAACTTTCAGTCAATTAACACATTATTTTATTGTATTGAGGTAAAGTCCATAAAACTCTGAGCATATTTATTCACTTTTTTCCTTAAATTATTTTTTTCTGATTCTCAAAATGCATTTGCCCGCGTACGCAAATGCCCCAATTCCCATTATTAATTTTAAAATTGAAAAGTAGGTGTTTTTTTTTTTGATTCTAAACATTCATTTGCGCGTGCGTGCCCATGAAGCCTTAAAATTTTTTTCTACAATTTAACTATTATTAAATATTTCATAAACATTTTAAAAATTTTTATATCTGGCTGGTTTAATCTAAATCACTATTGTTTAAGTAATAAATGAATTTGAATGGCATTTTCGATTTAATATTTGGTAATTTTAGACTGCCGTCTTTAATATTTATTTTTAATGCACATATTGTCATTTTTTTTTTATTTTGATTCTCAAAACGCATTTGACTGCGGGCGCCCATGTCCCCCTTCCCATTTTTATTTTTTAAATTGAATCCTTTTTGATTTTTCATATTTTTATTTTTTTTGATTCTCAAAACGCATTTGCCGGGAGATCGTATTTTGCGCCAATTTTATTACCTATAATTTGCGCCATCAAAAGGTACATTTAAGGACGTATGTAATTTGCGCCAAAATATAAAAATATAATATGTATTTTGCATTTTTGCGCCACATATACAAATTAATTTTGGTAATTTGCGCCACGACAGAAAACGAAATGGAATATGTAATTTGCGCCACACATTCAACTTCAATATTGTTGTCACTAGATCTCACTAGTCACTACTAATGCTTGCGAATCATATCATTCACGTTTCAATTCCGAGTTCTATCACCCACATCCTACTATTTACCACTTTTTGGACGTACAGAAAGGATTTCAAACCAAAACTTTGATTACAATTAAAAGTATACATCTTAAAAAACGAAATTCTACTAAAAATAAAATTCGTTTGGAAACTTTTCAACAAATATATGAAGACTTAAGACAAAATAAAATTGACAGAAAATGCTTAGTTTCTTCATTAAGCTATAAATATAAAAAAAAACGTGAGTAAGCTAGGTATTATAAGTAACTAGGTATTTTAATTCAAAAGATTAAATGTTATATTACGAAAATTGTACATACTAAACGAAAATTTATATTTATACATTATAATATTTTTACATTTATTTATAATTATAATATGACTGATTTTTATATGTTTTATTACTAAACGAAAATTTACTTATTTAATATGCATGGAGTTCGTTTTACTTGTATACATTTATTTATAATTATAATATGACTGATTTTTATATGTTTTAAATAGAAAATTTACTTATTTAATATACATGGAGTTCGTTTTACTTGTGGCGCTAATTACAATTTCAATAAGGTGAACTATGGCGCAAATTACAATTTTTGTAGGTAAACGATGACGCAGATTACATATTGCCTTTTCATTTAGTTTTATTTGGCGCAAATTACCAAAATACAATTTTAGATGTGGCGCAAATTACATATATTTTTTTTTTTTTGGGTTGTTTTTGGCGCAAATTACATACGCCCCATTTGCCTGCGTGCGCCCATGTCCCCCTTCCCATTTTTATTTTGAAAATTGAATTCTCAATGACATCAATGCCATTTTTAAATTTTGATAACCATCTGGTTTTTTATACATATTCATTTAACCATTATTCAATGATTGTACATAAAGCTATGAGTTAGGTATACTGATATTGTATACAGCAGTCTTTAATGTATGTTTTTAATGCAACTTTTTTCATATATTTTTTGTTTTTGATTCTCTAAACGCATTTGCCTGTAGCCACCCATGTCCCCCTTCCAATTTTTATTTTTAAAATTGAATCCTATTTGATTTTTTCATATTTTTATTTTTTTTGATTCTCAAAACGCATTTGCCTGCGGGCGCCCATGTCCCCCTTCCTATTTTTATGTTAAAATTGAATTCTCAATGGCTTAAATACCATTTTTTAATTTGGGTAGCCAGCTGCTCCCTTATACATATTCATTTTACCACTATTTAATTATTGTAAATAAAGCTATGAGCTTAAGTATGCTGATATTGTTGACTGCAGCCTTTAATTTAATGATTGTTTTTAGTGCACATTTTTTCATTATTTTTTTTCATTCTTAAAACGCATTTGCCTGCGGGCGCCCATGAGCCCCTTCCCATTTTTATGTTAAAATTGAATTCTCGATGACTTAAATACCATTTTTAAATTTTGATAACTAGCTGGTTCTTTAAAATATTCAATTTCTCATGATATAATTACTGTATAAATAACGCTATGTGTTTAGGAATACAGATATTGTCACCATTGTTTAAGTAATAAATGAATTTAAATGGCATTTGCGATTTAATATTTGGTAATTTTAGACTGCAGTCTTTAATGTATGTTTTTAATGCAACTCTTCTCATTTTTTTTTTTTTTTGATTCTCAAAACTCTTTGCCTGCGGATGCCCTTGCACCCCTTCCCACGGAATTACCAGAAATTATAAAACCAGTGAAAAAACAAGTAATTAATGTATGACTGATAAAATAACGATGGTTATTGTGCCAAAATAGTTTTATCTACAATTATCTATAGTTGTATTTACGACTCAAGGAAAGTGAAAATTATATATATATATATATATATGTATATATGTATATATACCTGCGTATTTTTATAGTACGTCCCAATACTTTAGTTGACTGCTAAATATCAATCGACAATCAGTGAAGTATAGTGCTCTCTATAATCGTAAAAATGCCAAAAGTTAAAATTTAAAATTATATGAGCAACAATTAGTATGAGTTTTAATGAAAGTAAGGTGATAAATATATGGTTGTAAATTCCTTTTTTAATATTTAATTTTATGTCTAGTTGTATTTTGTTTTTTAGAATTAAATTAGATAAATGTTTTTTCTGGCAATTTAAAATGTTTTTTTAAGGATTTATTTTACTACAAAATCCGAGCCATTCTGATGAGTAAAAACTAAAAAACTAAAAAACTACAAAATTGTAAACCGCGGTACGCGATATTTAGAAGATCTTAGAGTTCTGAACTTCAGAATTTTTGAATGAAAAACCGAAGCATATTATACGTTGTCACGGTAGGATATTTAAATGTATAGGTATTTGATATGTTATTTACCCATCCTGACTTTTCTTAGTCCATCTCAATGTAATTAAGTCAATTTTTTTCCTATGATTTGACAAGTGACAAGTGACAAAATAAAAATTATATTTGTACTGTTGTCTACAAAACTTATAGTCATTTAAAGCTCTCCCATCTTGTATTACTAATATTGTTCAAAATAAATAATTGCTGCTTGACCCACAATACTTTTAATATCTAGAAAATATATTTTTTTTAATTCCAATCACATCTCTTAATTTGAGATTCATTCAGTTATTTGTTATGAACACAATTTGTTGTCTTCAGTTTCTATAGAGAAAATATATTTTGTGTAACTTAAATATTCATTTCCCATTAATCCTCACATTGATACAATGCCATCCTGTCTGCGGTTGAAGATTTGTAAGCTATTTTAAATATATTCAACCTATTCGGATGATGGGTGTCTACAGCACATATTAATTATGATTTGATCAAAAGCTGTCTATACATATGAATTCCCCAATTTTTTATTTTTTGAAGATATTTTAGGTATTACCTCCAAAACTATAACTATGTTTGAATTCAAGTAAAACAATAATTAATGATAAGTTACATTTTTAAGTATTAACTATTAAGAGATAGGTATTGGTTTTGAAATGATATCTAACATGTTTTTTTTTCAATTTTTGTGTTTAAATTACTATTTTTGTCATATTTTGGCCGATGAAGTGCTTAATGAAGTATTGCAATTTAAATAGGTTAAGCCGGTAGATAAGATATTCAGAATAAGTAGATTATTTATAAGTAAGCTTGCTTACAATTTTCCACTGTTAAAGGTAGAAATAGCAAATATGAGTAGCATATACTATACTATATTAGCAATATAAGTAACACAAATCTGCCATATTGAATGTTATAGTCGTTTGAGCCAATTTCTACAATAAATTAATATTATGTGGTATTCTTATCTTTTGAAATTTGTTTTTGCTAAAAATTTGTTTTAACAATTAAAACATATCATCTGCTATTGGTGAAAGTTTTTTAGAATTTATCCATCCGTGATCGCAAGGCATCAAAATGTTGTCCGTATTTACTTGGCTCCAACTTTGAAGGCAAACAAAACATCTATCTACATGCCCACCTTTAGAATAGTAGGTATTTAAGTGAGTTTATTTTTCAATTTTGTTCAGGAGGATGTTATGTTGATATTTTTCTTACATATGCATAAACATAGAGCAAATTTTAAGCTTAACAGATCAGATTTAGCTTTGTTAGTTTAAAAATTAGAGTGAATTAACCTCTTTTTTAAATTTAAAGCTAAGAATGGTATCTCAGGCTTTTTATTATACTTTAATTTTAAAGCGAGTTATGAGTGTGTTAAAATTGCCAGTTGTTTGCACTTCATAAATATTCATCACTCGCTTTAAATTTAAAAAGTCTATGAGATGCCTTATAAAAAATTTTCACTCCAACTAATGGAGCTAAATGAAATTTTCTGAGAGTAAAATTTGCTGTGTTTTGCACTTCTAAAGCAGAAATAACAAAATTAGTCTGTGTAACGTTTTCTTAACAAAAAAATGTTTAATAATAATATAAAAAACTAGTCTTCCAACATAGGATTATCCAAATCAAATGGCTGGTGAGCTTGTGGAGTAATTGGGTCTGAAACAAAATAGACAATTATTAAAATAATATTTGAGTATTATAACATTCAAAATCAACCTACCATCAACAAGAGCATCATTTATGCCTAGCTCAACTATTTCATAGACCTCTTCCTTCACTGACAAATCTTTGATATCTGGCAGTTCAACCACAGAATAAATGAAATTAAAAATAATTTCATTTATTCTGTGGTTCAACTTAAATAAAAATTGAATTGTGATTCAGTAAGTGAATATTTTTATTTTCTTTATTATTTAGAATATTTTACAATGCAGTTACAATAAGCATATGAGTGTAAAATAATAAATTACAATACATAAGTACTTGGGTGGAGAAACCACCCAAGGATGACACTCCTTCATTTTACTTATAGAAATATTCTAAAGCATACTTTCGTTTTATGGTAGGTCAAGTGGCTCATTTCGGTCTTCATTATTTGCTAATCATACAAACAAAAAAGTTATATTTAGTTAAGACACAATATATTTTTTACCACATTCTATTTCTATATTTTTACCTTGAATTTGGATATGATATGATATTTAATGTTATTTACATTTCCTATATTATTGATATTTAAATTATAGTAACAGGAGTATACAATGTATTGTTAACTTTAATGTATAGTTGTATATTACTGAGAAAGGTATCTTCAATGAATAGAATGTTGCCACTTACTTCTGGTTTTTAGCGCACATTTGGACGTTCTGGATGTCTGACCATTTGAGGAACTGCTGCTGCTGCTGCTGCTGATCGTTGATGACCATGCCCCCATCCCGGTCTTCTAGCTCCACGAATGTGGAATTGTGGCAACCCATGTGGCGGAGGCTGAAGTCTAACCATTGATATCTGTAGCTGTCCCAAATATTCAGGAAGGATTTCTTTAACTCAATTTTATGGTCATTTAGTTTATACACTCAATTGAATTTATGTGACTAAATGGCCTATTTACATATTTAGGTATCCTTTCACTGAGTAGGAAACTCTTCTTAATTGAGCCATGGTGTCATAGCGGCCATAGCGTACGCTTTGTTGAGCATCAGCCAAAATGCAGTTATTTGTGTCTCTGCTAGACACAATTGATCTTTGTAAACCTTTAATTAAAGTTTGATTTATTAAAAACAATTTCAAAAATTTAAACTTTTGAAGTTTACAGCCTTACTCTCTGGCCGTTGATTGTTTGTATAAGGTTTCTCTCCGTACTCTACTTTCAATGGAAGTTGGAACGTAATAATCGATCTGCAAAATATTATTTAAAATCAATCACCATTCTAATAATTGTCAATTATAAATTTTTATAAAAATAAATTACCGGAAAAGGACCAGACTGGGGGATGTAGGCCTATGGTAGACTTTAGGATGCTGTGAAAATTTTCTACACAATTATTGGCACGGATGTTTACAGTATAAACAGTAAACCTAGATGGACGTACTGTTGTTAACCAGTATTGTCGAACATAGTACACAAACTGAACAATTCGGTTCCGTATGCCCATACGAGTTGCCAGCCTTGTGATTGCCAGAAAACCCCCAAGAATGTAGAAGTCTTCGGGAAATTCTGGAATCCGTTGTGGTAGCAAGTGTGGTAAAGCCCTTATATAAAAAAAAAGTTACAATATTAATGTAAGAATTTCTCATATCACAAGATCCCAATCCATCAGTCATTGATTGTTATAACCTATTACCATTTTCACTATTGTGGCAACATGATGATTTTTGCTCAATAATGTCACCATGCCAAGGGTCTGAACAAAACGTAAAATTCCCTGCAAACAAATTGTACATTTGAGAATATAATTTCATTATTGACCAAGGTAAATAACAAATACTGCAATGCCTTAAAAATATTAGTTAACTAAAATTCCGTTTTTTAGTTACCAATATTTTTTTTTTTATTTCATTGCAAGTATATTAGGTTATAAGGAATAGATTGGTATAATTTATGATTTGAAATATTTCTGAAGGTACTAACAATTATGATGTACGCAATTAATGTTTTTAATGTTTTGTTGTATTGTTTAATTATAGTGAAACTTAAAAAATATGTATACTATATACATATGGGTGCTATGATATGTTGAGAACATAAAATAAGTGAAATGTGGTGTCTCATAGAGTATTTGGCATTTGATTAATTTATTTGACAATATTAAAACTGAGGTAATAGGAGAAACAAATATTAATTATTAACATAATTGTCTTTTCAAATTATAATAATGAGAAATGTAAGTGCAAGTTTCCCATGTTATTATGTTCTATATATATTAACTGTTCATTCCTTTCCTAAATACCTGATACCATATTAATGAATTCTCCTATAAAACACATTATTATACCGACTTAAGACTACTGCAGTTATACAACATTTTAGGTTATAATGTAGATACAACAAATTTCTTTTAAGTAAACAAATGACTTAAAAGGTGTACATTTATTAATCGTAATTTCTGATCTTATGTAAAGTGTACCAGAGTGACCCTCTTACTACTTATACCGTCGAGTACCCCTAAACCATCGCAGAAATATTGCAGAACAAAAGAACGTGTTAGTGCGGTGGGTATGAAGTACCTGGGAATGAAGTTTATTCTATGGTGGGTAGAATGATTCAGTCTTAAAGAGTGTGTCTGAACTCTCATTGGATAGTACAGTACTAATAAAAACATAAATGTCACCGAAATTCAAAAGTGAAAAAAATATTAAAAATTTCAAATTTTTTTTGCATCAACGCATAGATTGTCGTTCACAAAAAAAGATAAACCCAATTTGGATGGTCAAAATACAATCCTTCTACATTAAATTATATTATTTTAGTATTATTGTTATAACGAACACTGTGTAATAATGCTCTTAGGCTGGGAACACACTAGCGTTATTTTACCGCGCGACATTTTTACATCACGTAATTTTACTGTGCGTTTTGTTAAAATACATTAAAATGTATAGAGCACAACACACGAGTGTCGCGCAGTAAAATTATGGCGCGACATTTCAAAAACTGTCGCGTGCACCTTGACTATACCGTGCGTTAAAAATACCGCGCGATAGGTATTTCCTGAATATATATATATAATATATATAATATTATATATATGCACTGAATTAAATGAGCGGCCTCACATTGGCCGTAATAATCGCGCGGCAGTCGGACAGTTGGTCATTTTTCGTTGATTATAGTAGTCGTGCTTGTGCTATACCAAATTGCAATGTCAATCGATTTTAACATGTCCTCAACCGATGAAGAAATTCAGATTCCCGAAGAAGATATTTTGGACGTTGATCTTTTAATAACATCAGTAGAGGAGAGGCCGTTGTTATGGGATAAGACGTTAGATTCATACTCGGACCGAAACGAGAAAAGGAAATGCTGGAGAGACATATTTTGTATAATGAAACCGGGATTTGAAGAGCTGGATATAAAGGATCAAAAAATTATAGGTAAATTAAAAAAAATTGCTAATTATGTTTTATTAGGTATAGTGATATTTAAAATCTCAATCATAAAATATTATACAGATAAAAATAATGAAAATACTGAGTAAAATTATTGAACATGAGTTATTACTTATCATAGAATTGTTAATTAATGGTTTTTGAACTAGGTACATTATTTATAGAGCAAAGTAATTTGAATAACATTATTATAATTATTTTTGTTATATTCTATATATTTTTTATTTATCATGCTACCAAGGTACAGCTCCAACTGAAGAAAAATAATCAGCAAATGTATTTCTCATATCACTCGCTGATCGTGTGCCACGGTCAGAATATGTAGTGTTTACATCATCAAATCCGTCAATAGACAGAGTATCTTGAAAATTAATTCCATTTTTTTCGCGTACATAGTTGTGTAGAACGCAACACGCTTTTGTAATATCCACTGCTAATTCAGTTGTAACATTCATTGGTCGATGAAAAATTCTCCATTTATTGGATAGTATCCCAAACGCACATTCGACATACCTTCGTGCACGAGACAAACGATAATTAAATATACGCTTATTTTTTGTTAAATTCCTTCCTCCATAAGGACGTAAAACATGTTGAGAAAGACCAAATGCCTCATCTCCTACAAAAACATAATCTGCATTGATACTAGTATTCAATATTGGACAACTTTCAGGAATATTAAGTTCATTTTTTTGTAGCAGATTCCAAAATGTTGAATTTTTAAAAATCGTAGAGTCTGAATCTTTTCCAAATGATCCTATATCGACGTATACAAATTTATAGTTAGAATCAACGATTGCTAGCAAGACAATTGAGAAGTAATGTTTGTAGTTAAAATATTGACTTCCAGTTCCTGTTGGCTTTATAATACGGATATGCTTCCCGTCTATCGCTCCTAAACAATGGGGGAAATTAGCACGTTGTTCGAACTTGGCTGCCGTATCTTTCCACATCTCCTCTGTCATAGATGGCATTTGGATATGAGCAAGTTCTTCCCATACTACATTGCAAACTTCTCTAACAATATTTCCAACCGTTGAAGCCCCTAGTTTGAATGAATAATGTAAATCTTGGAATGTACATCCGCTTCCTAGGTATCTAAAATATATAGTTTTAAATTAAAAAAATGTGGCAAGTGGATGTCTCTCTGCTGTACAGTAGGTTACAAGTGGTTACATTTTCTTGATTTTGTAAGAATTTTAACTTTTAACGCTTATAAATTTTTTAAGTGTTTTATTATCGAATTTCTTTTATGGTTATCGTAAGAAAAACTTATTTAGAATCTAGTGTTGAATTTTCAAACCTTAAATATAAATAGAACAATTTTTATGAATTTTTAACCACAAAACAATTTGCAAATGTTCGATATTCTGATGACCAAACTTTGACTTAAAATGTCTATAAAAATTATAATTATAATATATCTTTTTGATTTTTTGGTTACAATATAAACTACTTACGTAAAATCTTGTTTTAAATGTTCAATCCATAGTTATAAAAACTGAACATTTTATAAACTTTTAACTACAAAACATTTTGCAAATGTTCGATGGTGAATTTCGGCCAAAATTTGATGTTTAAATGCTTATAAAAAAAAATTGGGCCAATGTATTTTTATTATTTTTGGTGTACTATTTAAACAACTTACGAAGAGTCTTGTATTAAATTTTCAAGAAATTTGTCGTTGCAACATTTTTTTTATCGATATTTAAAAAAAAAAATTTGAGAAAACAAACAATTTCCTAGGCCTATAATTAGCCCAAAAATTAACAAAATATTTTTTAATTTTGTTGGTGTATATAAACTGGTAATATGGACATTTGGTGAAATTTTCAAACGTCTGCGCTAATTCCTTTGTGAATTCCATCAACATACATGCCCATAGAGAATATCGCAATGGATTCACAATAATATTTCGTCCGAATTCAAGATCAGATCACTGTCCTCCGCCAACTGAATGCATCTATAGTTTTTAATGAGCTGAAATATGCAGTCCCGATACACCCTGATACACCTGTCATCACGGATTTGTACTAAGTGTAGGTACTGCACTATTGCATAATAGACAACATAATATGCGGTTGCGACCTATTCTTAATTAAAAGCTATAAATATAATATAAAACATAAGCATTGATATTGACTGATAACTGATTCTGCTATAAATAAATAAATATGGCTATAGCACCACGGTATAGAAGATAATCTTCTTCGTTATCTTCTATACCGTGAATTTTATTAGAAAATAATATTATTTTTGTTCATACAGAGTACAGACTACGAATAATCAGTTATACCTTATACACTATTACAATATTGCATGTTTAGCCCCCTACGCTGTTTTACACTATTGTAATTTTTATTACTAGGGTTCGTATCGTTCGTATCGTGTTCGCTGTTGTCTGCTTGACGTTCCTACAGATTGTTAATAATTGTATTGAATCAACCGTATAGTCTTTTTTTCATTACCTATTTAAATTGTGATACAATTAGTGATTGTGATTCTTCAACCGAAATCGATCAGGTTTCACAGAAGAACCAATCAAAAATATTTTTAAGTATTAAGACTCATTGAGGATAATTTTTTTTACTAGAAGCTGGAAGTGAAGTGCTTAAGTTGTGTTAATACAAAGTGTTTTAGAGGTAGATTCACGTTCAAACTCTAATATAAGAAAACATTTAAGCGTAAGTACAATGTTAATTTCATACCTACCTATGATAGTTGACCCATCTAATATCTTGTGTGTTAAATTAATTTTAAATACCACACAAATACCTAATATATTATAAAAATACATCAAAAAAAGTGGCGCACAGCTTTTTAGAAGTCAAATTTCAAGTGCTTAAGATGTATCATAGATCTCATTATTCTATATTATGTATTTTCCTGGGCCCTCACACGAGTCATCTCAGAGGGGTCCAGTATTCTTGTGTATATAAAATAAAATAAAATAAATAACCCCCTGTTCCCTCAAAAATAATTTCCAGTTGCGCCACTGATCGAAAAATGTAAATTATTTATCAAAACTTATAATGTTAAGTAAAAGGTTATATTATTTCATTTTATTCAGACACAACATTCAACTATATTAAAAAAAATTGATCACATTGATAATGCAGCGAACAAAAACACTTAAAAGAGATGCAATTATAAATCATTGAGGCATAATGCTGGTAGTTCTTTAGAAAGAAAGAAGATTAGAAAGATTAGAAGATTTTTTGAAGAACAAAAAATTAAATATTTATATTACAGTAATATTTATTACTTGGGTTCGTATTATTCGTACCGTGTTTGCTGTTGTCTGCTTGACGTTTCGATAGATATTAGATAGTTAATAATTGTATTGCATAAACCGTATACTCTTGTTTTCATTGTTTAAATTGTTTTAAATTGTAATACAATGAGTGATTGTGATTCTTCAACCGAAGTCAATCACGTTGCAGATTTAGAAGAACCAATTTTACCATGGCCAAATTATCAAAAATATTTTTAAGTATTATGAAATATGATTCATTGAGGATAATTATTTTACCAGAAACTGAAAGTAAAGTTCTTAAGTTGTGTCGATACAAAGTGTGACAAGATAGATTCACGTTCAAACTCTAATAAAAAAAAACATTTAAACGTAAGTAAAATGTTAATTTCATACCTGCCTATGACAGTTGACCCATCTAATATCTTGTGTGTTAAATTAATTTTAAATACCAAGCAAATATCTAATATATTACAAAAATACATCGAAATTAGTGGCGCACAGCTTTTTAAAAGTCAAATTTCAAGTGCTTAAGGTGTATCATAGATCTCATTATTCTATATTATGTATTTTCATGGCCCCCCACAAGTCGTCTCAGAGTCCAGAGCGGCCCAGTATTCTTGTGTATATGAAATAAAATAAAATAAGTAACCCCCTGTCCCCTCAAAAATAATTTCCAGTTGAGCCACTGATCAAAAAATGTAAATTATTTATCAAAACTTATAATGTTAAGTAAAAGGTTATATTATTTCATTTTATTCAGACACAACATTCAACTATATTAAAGAAAATTGATCACATTGATAATGCAGCGAACAAAAACACTTTAATGAGATGCAATGATGGATCATTGAAGCATAATGCTGGTAGTTCTTCAGAACAACCGGTTTTAGAAGATTTTTTGAAGAACAAAAAGTTAAATAGTCAAAGTAAGAATGTGTACTGTTTATTTTAATTTTTTATTTTATTAAATAGTTTTTACTTGCAGCATTAACAAAAGTAGTTGATATTTATATGACTGCATGACTATATACTGATACATTGCTAGTGAACGATACGGTTGTTAATGATTTAGAAGAAATCGACGCATTCAACTTGAACTTTCTAAATGATGAAGACCATGATTTGCCATATGCATTACCAAAACACCATCGATGTTGTGCACACACAATAAATTTAATAGCAACAATGGTAATTAAACATTTATTTAAAATTTGAAATAGATAACCTAATATATTTAAATTATAAAATACTATAAATATTTTTATCGAAAAGAATATATTTTGAGTAAGTATAGTGATCAGGACAAAACTATTAGATAATAGGTTTAACACTTAATACTCATAATCAAATTTGTATAAGTTGTAATACATTTAACAATTTTTCTTTCAATTTAAATGATAAAAACATATGAAAAAAAATATTTTAAGACATAAGTATGAATATGATTGGCATTAACTATTTTCTATTATCTATGCCCAAATTTCAATTTTAAATATCAATAAATTATGTTTGCTTAATTTTTTATTACTAATTACAAATTTGTACAAATTAAATACAAAATAAAATAATTTATTTGTATAACTTGTTTTTTCTAGGACTTTAAAAAAGCTAACTTGAAAAAAAAGAACAGTCACGAAGCACTTTTGCCAAGTCTACCGCTTTGTAGAATCAACAAGGTCGCTCAACCAAGTCAACTGATTTATTTAAACAAAATCTTTTTATTTATTTAACGCTGTGTATATACACCCGACCATAGTTGGAATTTTAATGGACACCCGACCATGGTCGGACTGATAGTAGACACCCGACCATATTGTTATTAAATGCACGGCGATTTGTATTTGAATTTGCATAAATTTTCAATTTAAACCGACCTTGAAGTAAAACCCAATATATTTGTACCCTTATATTGATGCTATTAAGATAATTTTCAAATTATTTATTATTTATACTTTATAGCATTTATTTATGTAAGAGTCACTTCTGATGGCACTAAGTTAGAGATTTCCCAAATTAATGAGACACATAACCACGAGACGTCTGAGTTATTGTTTTCAAACTTGCCAAATCAGCGCCGCTTGGAACCACAGATGAAAGCTAATGTACTTGAAATGATGGAAATTAAAGCAATTAA